TGCGGCATGCACATGGGTGGCTGGATGGAGCCTGCATTTAGCAGACATGCTTCTCTTGCTTCTCATGCTTCTCATGCTTCTCACGCTTCTCACACTTCTCACGCTTCTCCCGCTTCTCCCGCTTCTCACACCTCTGCGATGGATGTTGACACAGTGTTCGCAAGATACACAGGAGAGGCCTCGTATAGGTCCTCACGGCGATAGACCTCACACTGATGGGGCCATTTCTTAGAATTCTCAGAAATGACTTCACAACAGGCATCACAAAGGTACTCGCGATAGGCCGCACAAAGTTACCCACAGTGACTCAAGGCGGGTGAGCTGGAGAATCTCGGACGGTAGGTCGGACATGGAGTAGAGGAAGCTGGAGGGGGGAGAGAGTACGGGGGAGGTGGAAAGTTGTTTTTCGGAGGGAGAGGGCGGCAGTGGCTCCAGCCTTGAAACGTAATATCATGAACAAGGCTGAGAGACATGGTTCGGGAGAGAGGTATGGAATGAGAGGGACTATGGAAAGGGAGGAATGGAACGAGAGGTATGGAAAGAGAGGTATGGAAAGAGAGGTTTGGAAAGGGAGGTATGGATAGAGAGGTATGGAAAGAGAGGTATGGAAAGAGAGGTATGGAAAGGGAGGTATGGAAAGAGAGGTATGGAAAAGGAGGTATGGAAAGAGAGGTATCCAAAGACTGGAATGTGAGCTCATTGTAGGGATCTAAGAGGAGCTCCGGTTGCAGGGTAGCGGGGGAGAGAGACCACCAATCAGCACACACAGTCACATTCCTACAGCCCTACAGTCACACTCATAGTCCTCCCACTCCAATACACTCACAGCTTGCTCACTGCGCCCCTTGCGCGTAGAGACCCCCGGTGGTGGATGAGGACTATAGCAAAGGGAGCACAGTCATAGTCCTCCCACCCCATTTCTGGTGGTGGCTGGAGCTATAGTCCTCATCCACCACCAGAAATGCTTTGGAGGCGCTTCAAGCACACCCTCTCTCACAGATTGCGAAGTGCTCCCTTTGCGATTTCGAGTAGAGACCCCGGGCTGAAGCTGTAGCACATCTACCCGACCATCACCAGTATGCTTTGGAGGCGCTTCAAACACTCAAACTCACTCACAGCTTGCTCACTGCGCCCTTTGCGTCGCACGCGATTAGCGTAGAGACCCCCGGGTTGCAGCTAAAGTCCTCATCCACCACCATCACCGGTGAGGCGCTGAAAATCGTCTCCAGGGCGGATCCTGACGGGAGAGTTGGCAGGGAATGGGGGACGGACCGGACGGTAGTAGGGGTGAGGGACAGGCCTCACTGAGTTATCTCAAAGCTTTAGTCCTCATCAACCACCAGCAGAGGCGCTGAAAATCGTCTCCACAGCGGATCCTGACAGACGGTTGGGATGGAGGCAAGGAATTGGGGGAAACCATTAGCAGAATATTGGCAGGGATTGAGGGAAAGGGAGGGGGGGGGAGAGATATTGGCGGCGTTGGCAAAAGGGAGGAAGGGACGGTACAGGGCGGATCTTGGCAGAAAGTTGGCAGAGGGAACGGAGAGCGCAGGTCTTGGTACTGTCGGTAGGGAATAAGGCGAGGGGAAAAAGCGAGTCTGGGCAGAGAGCCAGTAGGGAATAAGGCAAGGGAGCGCCCTGGCGGTGCTGGGAAGGGACTGATATAAGCTTCTGCATCATTCCAAGCAACCGCTGAAAACCCTATCCATGGAGAATCCTGGCAGCATCATTAGATGGGGGGGGGGGGAAGAGTGTGAAGGAACAGTTTGCCTCATGCCTCACTCCAAAGCGACCGCTGAAAAACCATCTCACAGCGGATCTTGGCATCCCATTGGAAGAGGATGAGAGGATAGAAGAACGAAACAACACACTTCCTCAAAAGGCGGAGCTAGCTTTAGAGGTCTTTGCCTTGGAGGGTCAAGTTGCCTTACTTGCCTTACGGTCGAGCCTCGCATCACGGAGATGCCGCCCTTTTAGGGCCTTCCTCTACAAGCGCTACATGGGCTTTGCCTATGCCTCCCATTTCCTTACTATAGCGCCTTGCAATATAGACTCTGCCGCAAAGGGCCTTTTGTCTTACTAGGGCTTGCCGCTAGGCCCTTGCCTTAAGGGCAGAGTCTCGAGCAGGGTCATTTCCTAGGGACTCGCATTATAGGGCCTTCTCTTATAGAGAGGCTTGCCTTGTAGGGCCTTATAGGGCCTTGCCATGTGGGGCCCTGCCAGGGCCTTGGGGCTTGCCTAGGGCTTCCTTAGGGGCTTGCCTTAGGGCTTTGCCTTGTTGGGCCTATAGGGCCTTGCCTTGTTAGCCTTGCCTTATAGTAGGGACGTTGGTGACTTTGCAAGGCCATTAGCACGCACTCTGGACGGCGTTCAGAGGCAAATTCGCCGCTGCCGCTCCTTTAACCGCACAGAATAACGCAGATATCAGGAGACAACTCAGCAGCGCAAAGGGTGGCGTAAAATACGGCGTCATCAGATAGAGTCTATTAGAAACAGAAGGCCCCTGCCCGAGGCTATGAGTAAGTGGTGAAAGAGAGAAAAATCATGGGACTGCCACTGTCAGCAGTTGGTAGCTCGCACAGTGTTAGGAAGATCTACTGCTAAACCCGCAGGCGATTGGAACTTTTTTCACGGTGAGGAATACTGCTAGCCAAGTGGTGAAAGAGGGGGAAATCATGGGGAGCTTTGAGTCCGTCTTGAATCAAAGCTTTGAATTCGAGGATTCTTACTTCATTGCACTATGAGCATCTGTTCCGTGGAGCTCAGCGAGATTCTCTGCGTTCCATAGTCTTACATTGGATATCTAGAACGGTTAGGTGGGGTTCTGAGGAAACTACGAAGCATATGACACATCCACTGCGGGATCAGTGGGGTGTGGTTTGTGTACGGGGCGGTAATGGATTCCTTCAAAGAGCCTACTTTAGCCGTATAATCCTTGACTTCCGACATTTCCAGTCGAAGCACACTGGTAATCTCAGAAACTCGGCGAATATGCCACTCGCTGCATCAGCATTTAGAACATAATCCAAGCGTATTTCCATGCCACTTTAGCATACCACACATTCATTAAACAGCCAGCTATGTCCTGTACCAGTAGGACCGCTGGACGGGTTCAATCGTAAGAAAAGGGTTTGGTCGGGTGGGCGGGTCACTGCAATCGAGAAGGGGGAGAACTAGAACCGCCTAGGTATGCACCAAAGACTACTTTATTTTAGTTTGTGAATCGAACTGCACTCTGACAATTCTGGGTTTGTTGAAATGTCTCATTCTGGGCTGGTGCTCCTGAGCACGTGGGCCATTTCGTCCTTTCCTTCGTACAGAGCAACCACTGAAAACACACCGCCGACCTTCGTGGGGAGCTGTTCAGCGTTGACATTTTTTGTTGTTGCTCGTGTTGTTTGCCCTGGCTGACCCCCCTGCCTACTTGCACGAGGACTTCGGTTCAGAGAGAACAAATGTGAACACCAACGGGACTTCTCATTGGCCAACATCTTTCACCAATTGACAGGCTTCCAACGCCTTCTGGCAGAAATCCCAAGTACATCAAGTTTTCGTTCAAGTTGGTGGTTTCGTTTCAGGCGGCAAGGGTCGTTATATCTGCCAGGTGACTGTCACGCTGTACAGTTGCTTGCCTGAGAAACCCACATTCGACAAAAATCCTCTGTCCGACATAAAACACCAGAACCAAACTTGGGGTGATTGTAATAAAAAAATTCGCAAACAACGACTGGGGGAAAGTGAGGGCGGAGAAAGGGAAAGCGGGGGCGTGCGGAAGGCGCAGGGAGGAGTTGGGGAAGAATACCTGGCCAGAGCGGCGCACGGCATGGAATATATGTGGTGCGTGTGAAGAGATTTCTTTGTCAGGGGCGTGATTTATTGCTCTGTTCCAATCCTTGCTTCCTGGTTTTGTCAGTTTTATTATTTGCCACGAAATTGTCGGTGTCATTTTTACGTAGTAGGTCACTACTGCAACGCAACATAATTGTATTGAACACGGCACGCAGTGCACGGCTGTGGGCTCGGTTTTTGCTCACCGCGCCCCACCGCTCTGCACTGCACGGCGCTGCGCTGCACCGCATTCCACCGCACTGCACCATACACCACTGCTCTCCACTGCTCCACGTCGCTCCGTCCCGCCCTTCACCGCCTATAGGCGGCTGCTGCGGTCATAATGACGGACTCGTTGCTGCGCTTTGATGCAGAGGGTCAGCCGGTTGAGTTCGACGCGTGGCTCATCGACCTCCGCCGTCACCTCACTGGTCAGCGGCAGGACAACCACTCTTTGGCCGTCCACATTGACAGTATGCTCCCATGCCCTAACCCCTCTGCTGCTCTCCCCGCTGACCCCACGCCGCTTCTGCCCTTGCCCGTGCTGTCTGGCTGTCACGTGACGTTGTCGCTCAGCTCGTGATTAACCATGCCCTCCCCCTATCTGAGCGCCCCCACTTTAATTCGGTCAAGTTTGCGTAGGAGTTTCTGGAGCCTATTGTCGTGCGTTATTCCACCCCGTCCTCTGCCTCTGCCGGCCAACTGATCCTTCCCATGCTCTTCCCTGATCTCGTGTCTTTCTCCACTGTCGCTGACCTGGTCACGCACTTGCGCACGCTCGACGCGAGCTGGCGCGTTGCCTGCACTGAGGCCTAGCTTCGTGTGTTCCAGCCCCCTCTCTGCTCTACCCTTTACATGCTTGCCACCCGCCTCCTTGACCGCCTTGCTACTGCCCGCAACCACTTTCTGAGTCTGCACCCCGCTGACCTCACCCTCACCGACTGAGTCGAGACCCTGTCTGCCATAGAGACCCGTCTGTGCTCTATCACCCAGTCTAGCGGTACTCTGTCGGTCCCTATCTTTCAGGGTTGTGCTCTCGCTCAGTGCAGTTACTCTGACAGTTCTGCGGCTATCGCTAAGACAGCCCCTGCTGCTGAGACTGCTACCACGATGGCCTCAGCGCAGTCTCGTTATGGTAAGGCTCGCCGCCCCAAAGCTGGGCGCAACGGTGGTAGTAGAGGAGGGGGTGGAGGTGGTGATGGAGGTGGTTCATCCGCTGGTGGTAGTATCGACGAAGGGGCTGGGGCTGGTGCCTCGGAGCAGCAGCCCCAGCGGGAGCAGCAGCAAGTGCTACAGCTTGACCAGCAGCAGCAGCAACAGCAGCCGCAGCAGCAGCAGCAATAGCAGTCGCAGCGGAGGGTCGGCCGCCTCCTGCCTGGGTGGCCTGGCGCCGGTGGTGGTGGTCGTCGTAGTGGTCGTGCGCGCAGCTTGTCGTCGGGTGGTGGTGCGAGTGACAGGCGCTGCCAGTACCAGCTCTAGACTAGTCCTGGCCGCAACCTCGTGTGCGGTAAGATCGGTCATACCCCCACTCGCTGTTTCAATCGCCTGGACGACCTGTTTCGTCTCCGCTTCGGCCCCGCACCGGACCTCCCCGAATGGCACAGTCTGCTCCGCCGTGGTGTTAGGATCTTTGATATGGACATGGATGAGATTAGCTCTCCATTATATGTGATGTATGTCGATGACTCTAGTGTGACTGGTTCCTATTACCCCGTGTTGCCTAGTGTTGGTGTGCACAGTGCGCCTAGTTTAGGCTCCCCTACTGCGTTAGGCGTAGGACCCTCTGCTTTGTTTAGCCTTGGCTTCACCCTAGCTCCTCCGCCCCCAGCCGCCACTGCCGCGCTCTCCTTCACTCTTGACTCTAGCACGTTTCGGTGTTTCTTTTGGGACCACACTACGCTTACGCCGCTTGCCGTCCCTGCCGACGCTGCCCTTGCCGTCCCTTCCTCAGGTCCGGTAGTCGCCCGTAGCTCCACAACCCTCCTCTGTCCGGCGGTTCCTTCGGGCTCTCTTACAGGCCTGCACATCCCCTCGTTCTCCTGGAACCTAGTTGGTGTCGGCTGCCTTTAGGACCTCAACGTTACCACTACGTTCCCTGGTCATGAGAGGTACGCTGTCTGTACCGAGGCCGCCACTGGTGCTCCCTCACCACGTTCCCCCGGGACCCGGTGTCTGGCCTGTTCATGCTCGACACCACGTCCCCCCCAGTTGGGACGCCCCCCCAGATGGCAGCGTCTACCCAGGTTGCTGCGGCTTGCTCGTGTCGGTCGCTTACTCACCCGTCCCTTCTGTGGCACCACCGCCTAGGTCACCCCGCCTTCACACGTCTCCGTCACATGTCTCAGCAAGGTCTTGTCTTAGGTCTCCCTGTGTCGTTCCCTGCGCTCCTTTCCTCGGCAGTGCCACCGTGCACCCCCTGCGTGAAGGGCCGGCTCCGCCGTGCCCCTCACTCCTCCTCATTCCCCCCCACCACCGCACCACTGCAGACCCTGCACATGGACGTCTGGGGCCCCGCCCCCGTCCATGGGCCGTGTTGTGAGCGCTACTTCCTAGTGCTTGTCGGCGACTTCACTCGCTACACCACGGTGTTTCCCCTGGAGCGGAAGGCCAACGTGCCTAACGTTCTTATCCCGTGGCTTGTCTCTGTGCGTGTTCACCAAGGTCTCCCTGTGTTGCGTCTTCACTCCAACCGTGGTGGCGAGTTCGCCTCTGGCTGCCTTGGTCGCTTTTGTCGTGAAAAGGGCATCACCCAGACATACACCCTACCGGACTCCCCGCAGCAGAATGGGGACACAGAGCGACACATTGGTTTGGTCATGGAGGGCTCGTACCTCCATGATCCAAGCCAGTGCACCCCATTTTTTGTGGCCGTTCACCATTCGCTATGCCGCCCACCAGCTTAACCTGTGGCCGCACCCTCAGCGGCCGCAGGTTTCGCCGACCCTCCTCTGGACTGGGTCTCCTGGTGAGGCATCTGCGTTCCACGTCTGGGGCTGCCTTGCTCACGTTTGTGCCTCTGGCATGGACAAGCTCGTTGCCCGCACTGTCCCCTGTATCTTCCTAGGTTTCCCCCTCGACTCATCTGACTGGCACTTCTACCACCCGCCGTCTCAACGTTTCCTTCACTCTCGCGACGTCACCTTTGACGAGTCCGTCTCCTTCTACCACCGCTTTCCCCACAGTGGTCCCCCCGTTACTCCCCCCCATATTCCTGGTTCCCCCACCCCCGGTCGCACTTGCTCCCCCCCCTCCCCGCCCTGCCCCGTCTGCTGTGTCTCACCTCACCCCCTCGTGCCGGTTGTTCCTGCCGAGGGGACTGCCGACTCTCGCGATATGCATAGTCCCTTCAACCGCCTATCCCCACCCCGGTCTCTCCTCCCCTCTCGCCACCATTGCTGTCGCAGCCGCCGCCGCCGCCTCCACAGCTGCCGCCGCCACCGCAGCCGCAACCATCGTCGTCACCGCCGCTGGGGTTTGTACGTTCTGGGGGTGCTGGGGAGCGTGTCGGCGTGGGTACTAGAGCGAGTTCCCGCCGCTGGAGGTTCTGGTGTTGGCGTCAGGCAGCAGCCGCCGCAGTCATCGCTGGTGCCCGCTCTTCGTCTCCTCGGTCTTCCTTCCCCTGACCGCCGCCGATGCCTCCTCCGTCGCCGCCGCCTCCTCCTCTGCCGAACTACGGCCTTGTGTTTCCTCCACTCGACTCTTCTCCGGCTCGTTTCCTTCCTCGTTCTCCTCCTGTGTCTCCTCCGCTCCTTCCGTCTCCTCATTCGCCGTCGCTTGCCGTGGCCCCGCCTCCGTTCTCAGACTTCCTCCGTGCCGCAAGTCCCCTTGTTCTTCGTGTCCTTGCCTCTCTGGTTACCAACCCATCCGTTCCTGTTTCGAGTCTGTCGGCTCTTGTCGCTGCTGTCACTGACTTCGCTGCCACCCGCCGCCTTGACTACGCCACTGCTCTGGTCTCTGACCCTGCCTACCCTCCGTCCGTCAGGGTGCTCCTGCCCTTGGCAGTGCTGTTCTAGAGGACAGGCAGTACGAGCTTGCTTTCATGTCCGAAGCCGCTCCCCATCACTGTTCCATACTGCTTGTCGCTGAGGGTGACCCGGACGCCCTTGACATTCCAACCCCTCACACCTACGCCGAGGCGACCCCGGGACCCTGGGCCTCTCTGTGGATAGCTGCCATGGAGTAGGAGATGGCATCTTGGAGATCCACCGGTACCTTCGTCGAGGCAGTTCCCCCATCTGGGGTGAACGTAGTCGATAGCCAATGGTTCTTCAAGGTGAAGCGCCCACCTGGAGAGCCGCTTGTCTTCAAGGCGCACTACGTTGCTCGAGGCTTCAGTCAGCGTGAGGGGGTGAACGTCTTTCAGACCTTCGCCCCGACCACGAATGTGACTACTCTTCGGGTGCTGCTACACATAGCAGCACAGTGTGGTTATGAGCTGCACTCTCTCGACTTCTCTACAGCTTTACTCCTGGGAAGTCTACATGAGCAGCCTACCTGCGCTGCCCCCAGGGCTTCTCTAGTACCTTTCCCCCTGGAACCGAGTGGCTCCTTCGGCGCCCCGTCTACGGCCTCCGTCAGGCACCCCGTGAGTGGCACGACACTCTGCGTGCTACACTTGCTGACCTGCTGTTCTTCCCGTCGTCTGCAGACCCCTCACTCTTCGTCTGTTCCGGCCAGACTCCGTTCTACATCCTTGTCTACGTAGACGACCTGGTCTTTGCTACTGCAGATAGAGACGCGCTGGCCTCCGTGAAGCCCGAGCTGCTGAGGAGACACACCTGCATTGACCTAGGAGAGCTGTGCCGCTACCTTGGCTTGCAGATCTCCAGGGACAGAGCAGCGGCCACCATCACTCTCACATAGTCACACTTGGTGCGCCAGGTCTTGCAGAGTTTCGGCCTTCAGTTCTCTTCTGCACAGCCCACCCCTCTGCCAGTAGACCAGATACTCTCTGCTCAAGTCACGGAGGAGGCTGTAGCGCCCAGTGGTCCTTACGTAGAGCTGGTGGGTTGCCTCATGTACCTGATGATTGCACTCGTCAAGATCTCGCATACCCTCTCAGCATCCTAGCCCGCTTTGTGGCCACCGGCAGACACCGACCACAGCACGGATTTGCAGCCAAGAGGGTTTTGCGTTATCTAGCAAGTACATCGGGCATGGGGCTAGTGCTAGGGGGATGTAGACCAATGGTCCTTTCCGGACACACAGACGCTTATTGGGCAGACGACGCCTCTCAGGTCCTCCCAGGGCTACTGCTTTAGCCTTGGTGCAGGTGCTGTCTCGTGGAGGTCCACCCGCTCGTCGTCTGTTGCCGAGTCTAGCTGCGAGCTTGAGATCTACGCCAGTGCCATGGCGGCACAGGATCTCCGCTGGCTGACTTTCTTGCTCACAGACTGAGGTGAGCGGCCTAGCTCTGCCCCGGTCCTGTACGCTGACAACAGGGCCATGATCCTCCTGTGTCAGGAGACTAGACTCGAGGGCAGAGCAAAGCACATCCAGATGCCGGTACTTCCTCCTGCACGAGCTACAGCAGCGTCGCCAGGCCCGCGTAGTACACTTGGCCTCTGGTGCCAATACAGCTAATATCTTTACAAAGGCGCTTGCGCCTAAAGATCATCAGCGGCATTGCGTACAGATTGGTCTCATTCCTGTAGCTCCTCATTTGCTAGGACCTTGATTGTGTACAACTCTTTATATATTATCCTGACTAGCCTTGTGGCTTCTTCCCAGTGGCTGGACTAGTCGTGCTGCCCTGTTCTTGTTCTTGCCTTGTTTTACTCTTTTGACTGGTCTTTAGACCCCTGCCTCAAGGTTGGTCTAGTATTGCCACCCAGAGCTGCTTGTCTCTCGCCAGGCACTGCCCCTATCTAGTCTAGGGGGTGTGTCAAACATACGTGTGTATGTTTAGTGTCATGCCATAGAGAGTACAACCCAATAGCTTTATACCCTTTTATTCTCCCATTCTAGTCAACTCTTCTAACTCTGAGAGTTGTCCAACCCAACATTATTGGCCCTCTTGTAATTGGTGGTTAACCTTTCCAACCATTTTTGGTTCACCCAATTATGGTTGGGTTGGTCAACCCCTTTTTGACCTAGGATTGGGTACCTAGGTACAAAGCCGTGTATCCTCCCCTCCCCTCAATATATCGACTTAACTTCTTTCAATGTGGTGAGACACTAGAGTTGCCATCTGGGGGTATGTGGTAAGACACTAGAGTTGCCATGCGAGGGTATGTGGTGAGACACTAGAGTTGTCATCCATGGGTATGTGATGAGACACTAGAGATGCCATCCGGGGGTATGTGGTGAGGCACTAGAGTTGTCATCCGGGGTATGTGGTGAGACACTAGAGTTGCCTT